GTCTTTACTTCTGGTAGTGTAAATCCTCCACAATTGTTCTTTTTGAAAATTGTCTTGATTACTTTCGGTCCTTTGTACTTCCATACCAATTTTGGAATCAGCTCATCAATTACCATAAAAAATGTCTGATGTGATTATAAATGGGATTGCTCCTGGCTAATCCCCAAACTTAATATATATCTCCCTTTATTTAGATCTTTGCTTTCAGCAATAAAGTGAGTTTTCAGTTTAGAGGTTTAACTTGGTTAGAACTATTATAAGGATATTGATTTTTTTTTTGCTTGATAATATTACAGATATCTTCATTTTCAAATTATTACAAATAAAATTGGTTTTCTATATTGATGCATTGATAAATTCACTTATTTTTTTAAAGATTTTATTTATTTATTTATTTTAGAGAGAGAGCATGAGTAGGGGGAGGGGCAGAGGAAGAGGGAGAGAGAATCTCCAGCAGACTCCAAGCTGAGCACTGAACTTGAGGTGGAGGCAATCCCCCGACCTGCAGATTATGACCTGAGCCAAAATCAAGAGTTGGATGCTTAACCAACTGAGCCACCCAGGCCCCAACAAATTCACTTATTAACTCTTATAATTTGTACATTCTTTCAGATTTCTTAATGTGCATAATTATATTATCTATTCATACCGAGAGTTCTACGTTTTTTTCTCAGCTTTATTGAGATATAATTGACATACAACCTTGTATAAATTTAAGGTGTACAACATGTCGATTTGGTACACTTACATAGTGTGAAATGTTTACCACCAAAGTGTTAGCTAATACTTCCATCACTTCACATAATTACCATTTATTCTTTGTGAGAACATTTAAGATCTACTCTCCTAGCAACTTTTAAGTATTAATACAGTATTGTTACTTCTTATGCTCCAATTGTTATAAGTATTGTTACTTTTTCTTATCTTATTGCACTTGTTAAAACTTTCAGTACTATATTAAATATTAGTGGTAATTATTGATAATCTTATTTTACCTGTAACTTCATGGGGGAAGTAATCAGTATTTCATTATTAAGCATGATGTTAGCCGAAGGATGTTCCTGTCTATTCCTAGTATGCTGAGAGGCTTCTTTATTTTTTTTTTTTTTCTTTCTTTCTTTCTTTCTTTCTTTCTCTTATCATGTATTAGTGTTGAATTTTATCAAAGTATTTCTCTGTACCAATTGAGATGATGTTATGACTTTCCTCCTGAATGTTAACATACCAAAATACATTGATTGATTTTCAAACCCTTGCAATGCTAGAACAAACCTCATTTGGTAATGACATATTAACTTTTAATATATATCACTGATTTAGTTAGATAATATATTTCAGGGTTACTTCATTTATGCTTCTTACAAATCTTAGCCTGTAATTTTCCTTTCTTTTAACAAACCTATCACATTTTGGTGTCGAGTATGCTGACTTCATAAAACAAGTTGGGAACATTCCCACCTCCTCTACTTATGGAAGAGTTTGTGCAAAATTGATATCACTTCTACCTTAAATATTTGAAAGGATTCACAAGCCATCTGGGTTTGAATATTTTTTTGTAGAAAAGCTTTTAGTTACACATTAATTTTCTTTAATAGCAGTAAAACATTCAACTTTATTTAAGTTTATCAATTTTATTAAACTTTTAAAGTACAAATTCAACATTATTGATTTTCTTTATTGTATGCCTGATTTCTATTTTATTCATTTCTGCTTTTCTTTATTATCTCCTTCCTTACACTTTCTAAGGTTTAATTTGCTGCTCTTTCTATAGCTTCTTGAGTTGGAAACTTATTTTATTGATTTCAAACATTTTTTCTTTTCTTACATAAACATCTAAAACTATAGATTTCCCTCTAATCATTGTCTTACGTGCATCCCACAAGTTTTGATTTGTCAATTTTCATTTTTATTCAGTTCAAAATATTTCTTAATGCCCATTGTAATTTCTCATTTGATTCACATGTATTGCTTAGAAAAATGCTATTTAATTACCAAACATTTGGGAATTTTTAAGTTATTCTGCTGTTAATTTCTAGTTTAATTACAATGTCATAATATTTTATGTTCCAGAATGTGGTATATTTATGTAAATAGTTTACGTGGACTTGAAAAGAATTTGAATTATGCAGTTTGGGGCTATAATTTTCTTTGTCAATTAGGTCAATTTAGTTAATGGGTGTGTTCAAACGTCCTGTATTCTCACTGAAAAAAAAATTTTTTTTGTCTACTAGTCTTATCAGTTAGTGAAAGGAGTGTTAAAATCTATGATGACAGTGACTTTAAGTTCTATTTTGCTTTACAAATTTTGAAACTATGTGTGTAAGTGCCCTTAAATCTAAAATTGTTATTTCTTCCTGTTGATTTGATATTTTTAGATTATGAAGTATGCTTATTTTTTTCAGAATATTTATTTTTTAAAGTTTAATTTGGGAGCCTCTGGGTGGCTCAATTGGTTAAGCGTCTGCCTTCAGTTCAGGTCATGATCCCGGGGTCCTACAATGGAGTGTAGGGCTCCCTGCTCATTGGAGAGCCTCCTTCTCCCTCTCCCTCTGTCTGCTGCCCCACCTGCTTGTGTTCTCTCTCTCTGTCAAATAAATAAATAAAATCTTAAAAAGAATAAAATAAAGTCTATTTTGTCTGATATTAACACAGCTATACTAGTTCTCCTCTGTTAGTCTTTGCATTGTTTATTTCCCTATCTTTCTCCTTTTAATCTATTTGCTTCTTTGTATTTAAAGGTATCTCTTGTAAACAACATATAGTGGGTTTTTTACTACCTAGTCTGACAATCTTTGTTTTCAATCACAGTAGTAATGTCATTTATATGTAATGTAATTACTGATATCATTGGGTTAAAGTTACTATTTTTTCCCATCTATCTATTCTTTGTCTTTTTCTTCAGTTAACATTATATCATAGAATGGTCCATATTTCTGCATTGACTTCATACATTTTCTTTTTAATGGTGCCAGCTTGGCCATTGTTTTGATATTTCACATCTTGCTGAACTGTTAGCTATCATTTGGTTCTTCCAGTAACTTTGCTATTACAGCTAATACTGCACTGAACATCGTTACACACATTACTTTCTACTTTGTGTATTATTTCCTTAGGGTGTATTTCCAAGTGTGGCATTACTGATTCAAGGGGTAGAAACATCTTTATAAATCTTGATATAATTTGTCACCTTGCTTTCTCTAAAGAATTATTCCAGTTTATAAGGTTATTAGCAGTATGTAGCTGTAGTGATTTTATTGCTGTCTTGCTGGCATTATCAGTTCCTTTTTTCAAATAAAAAATGTTGTATAGCAAAGAACTGAAGGGGTATCAGAATTATGATTACCAGTGCCATCCTTGTATGTAAGTTAACAAAAAAAAGGGAAAGGTATTTGAGATGTGCTTTTTCAGCTACAAGCTGGCCTAAAATTCCAAACCGCTCTACTTCAATTTTGAACACTTTGGCAATAAGCTCCCATGAATAACTTAGTAAAATGATGCATATTTATGACATAATATGTGAACTGGCATATACAGTTTATTGGAGTCTAATAAAACTATCATTCACAAATAAAACTAAAACAGGTTTATAGAATCAGAAGGTGGGTAGGAAGACAGAAAGGAGACCCAGCTGAAAATATGCTTAGAAGTAGAGTGAACACATTTTTAAGTTACCTTTAAACCTCATCGTGAATAATCTCAAAATAGAGTGGCTGCATCAGTAAACTTAATGAACATTTTTTCCCACGTCGTTAATACTGAGGAGCACTGGAAAGGAACTCTTAAAATTGTAATTACTTTGCAGAGTACTTAAAGATACATTATCTCATTTGAGCACAAGTACCCTGTAAGGCATGTATTTCTAATTGTTTTGTATAGGAATAAATTGGGATTCCCTAGAGGTGATACGATTTACCTAAGGTCACATAGGTGATAACTAGTAGAGCAGTGACTCAAACTTACATCTTTGCTACCTGTGACCTTTCCATTATGTTTAAGGATTACTTTCAACAACTGTTATTAAAATCTTAATCTACCACAGATTTCTTTACTAGAAAAAATTAATGAAAATGACCATATTGAAGATGAAAACTTTTCCAAAATATTAAGCCAAGAGATTCATTATAACAGGATCTAAACTGGTATAAAATTCAGGAGATTCTGTCATTAAAAATGCTATAGAAACTCAGCAAAAACCTTTTTTCTCGGCATTACATTTCTGTGATCTGGACACAGGAGTTCAGAATCTTAGGGAAAAAAAACACATAAAAATAACAGCAGAACCTAAAATCATAGTATAGTAGTAATGTCATTCATAATCAGCATCCCTCTGGGTCTTCCAAGTACACTAAAAGTCTAGTTTTTGAAATTTGAAAACAAATGCTGTTAAACTTCATCGTGGAAGATGGAAACTAGAAATTGGCTTGAAATAAAGGAATCTATTGTTTTTGGCTATGTGTTTGGCTATGTGTCTCCCCCTAAAACCACGTCTCAAAGTATTCGCTCTATTGGGGATAATATCAACTACCTTACTACTAAAAGTAGAAATATTTCAGCATGTTACTGTCAGGGTAAATTCCTGTGAGTGGTCTTTTAAAAGTCTTTCATGTCCACAGACAATCTCTTGATTTATATCATCCTACCCTTTGTATCATCGTCCTCCAGTAAATTTACATTAATAATTTTTTAAAAACCCTATACCTGAAAAAAGTAAATCTGGTCCAAAACATGGGGTGACTCTTGACAGTATTTAGAACGAAGTAAGTCTGCCCATTCCTTGCTCCTCCTGTCTCATGTTTTAGTTCCATATGCCAGTATAGCAAAATGAGTCCTTTTTTTATGGTATCAGCTGACAGCTGTATGCAATCAGTCTGATTCAACTAGCTGAAACCAGATTTCCCTCCCAACTAATATCGCTGCATCTAACGCTTGTGTTTCTTGGAACAAAGTGATGTGTTTATGTGAAAAAAGAAAAATAGAGTCATGTTTTATTTACATGCCAGGAGGTGTTTGGTTACCGGACCCAGAATCTACGCAGAGCCCTCTGCCTTATAACATCCATGCTGACCTGCGGGTTTCTTCAGCTGGTGTTCTATTGGAAACCCCAGTGGAGGGTGTGGGCCAACTGCATTCCATGCCCCTTGCAAGAAGCAGACACTGTTTTGCTAAAAACAACGGTGAGTGCCCTTCAGCATTGCATTGGTGGCACAATTGACTGGCTGGCATTCCAGAGTAGATCTTTCTTTACTTAAGTTTTCTTGTCCCCAAATAGGAGATGGCAAAACTATCCCTGAACCTACTTGCCATCTCTTATTTTGACTCAGGAAGGAAGGACATTGTCCTCCATGTCACCCTAGGGAAGTTTCTACCATGTCAGGCTAATTCTCAATGCCTTTAGCCATTACACAAGCAGGGGCTGTCAGTGTTATAACTCTTAAAGACATAACACAGGAAGGATAGTTCAGTTTTTTAAGAATACATATTTTGAGGGGAAAGTAGACATTTTAAACACCTAAATGTCATTTTTAAGATAGCTGGAAAATATTTTCTGGATATAAAACTTTCCTGTAAAGTGTGTCTTTCTTTTTATTCTCTAGCACAGTGGTTCTCAAATTTTAATGCAAATCAGTTACATGGAGGGTCCTTAAAACACAGACTGCTGACCTTGTCCCAGAATTTCTGATTCAGTAGGCTTGTGGTGGGGTTGAGAATTTGCTTTTCTAGCAAGTTCCAAGATAATGCTGATGCTCCTGTCTATAGCCAAAACTTTGGGAACCACTGGTCTAGGTAGGTATTTATTTGATTGCCTTATTAAATAAACAACATTTGAGAATTTCATGGGCTGGATTGTCTTCTCTAGGATGAATTTCAAAGATATATGAGGAAGAAGGTTATATGCCTTTACTTATCCACACTGAAGTTTCCTATGAGCAAGAACCCAGAAGAACCCTTGGTGGCTGACCGCCACTCTGTCATTAACCAAGCCGTATTGAAGCCAGAATTAAAAGTAAGTAATTTTGATGTAATGTTATGGCATGTTTTTTAAAAAAGAATAATGCAAATGTTTATTGGATGGAAGTTCTGAATGTCACGGTGCTGGACTGGGAATTACAACAAGGTATCAAGGAAAGTGAGTGTGGTGTGGGGACTTGCGACAAATAGCCCTCACCTCCCCCCATGGGCTTTACTTTGTGAATGACACTTGTTCTATCACATTTGTAATTGCAGCTGCGATGTATCCAAGTGCAAAAAATCAGGTACATTTGGGACTACTTGGAGAAGAGGTTTCAGAAAGTTGGGTAAGTTTGGCTTTTTCTCAGCATTCATCAGGGTATAAGGGAAGAACACTGATTTGTTGAATGCCATGATCTAGAGCATGCTTCTTGTCCTGACCACATCCTAGGCTACTGGAAGATAGCAACTCCTGCCATGACATCCACCACACGTTTGGACTGGGCCTGACCAGTGAAGAACAAGAGGTCAGGTAGGGTTTGTGACACTCCCTGAGAATAAACTCTGCCAGTAGAAATTGAGATATCAAATGACTTATGATCAGTGAACTGTTGGCATAATGCTTCATCAGCTTCATATAATCCCAGTTTATTTATCAGCAACAAAGACATATTTTAAGTTGTTCTTATTTTAGGCAAACTTATTAAAAAGAAAAGCCAATCAAATGATATTTGAATTTTTTTCCCTCAGGACTGTGCAATAGTCTCCTCTGTGTTGTCTTTTTTATTCTTTCCTCAAAAAATTTTGAGTCATTTCATAGACATCTGCTTCATCATCCTCTCAATCCTCTGAGAGACAGAAAGACAATATTATGATTGCATTTTCTTATAAAGAAACAGCCTAGAGATGAGGATTTTGTTTGCTCAGGTAGTTGTGTCATTCACCATTGTGTTCATAGCACCTGGAACAGTGCCTGATTCATGGTAGAAGTTCGATATATATTTATGGAATGAATGAATATAAGAATATATTTGTTGACCTATTGAGTGAATACCTCTACTACACCAGGCACTCTACAAGGAACTAGGGATCTAAGGATAAATAAGGCTTAGTCATTGCCCCAGAGACATTCACTGACTATTGGGAAAGAGAGACAAAGAATAGTGGTACAATTGTGAGAATGAGATCTATAAATGCACATAGATTAGGACATAATAGTGTAATAGTAGCATAGAAATGCTTATGCTCCTCATTAACCCACAGAGATTTTGAATTCTGGCTTCCCATCTGTAGTTTGAAATGGTGAATCCTGGTGAGTCTGAAAGTAAACCATTGCAAGCCTTCCCCGGAATCTTAATAATCACCTTCATTTCTTGCCCATTTTAAGGACATTTCCTGCCTGCCCTTTTCCAGTCCATCAGAAACACAAATTCTCAAGCTAAAAAGCAATCTGGTACCTAAAATACAGGTTCTGGGCCTCCACCCCCATATTCTGATCTAGTAGGTAGGAGCTAAGGGTAGTAGTGAGAGCAGAAACTGCACTTTTAGCAAGCACCCCTATTGTTTTTAAAGTTTTCATCCTGCCTGAACATGTTGAAAATGAAAAAGTCATCTAGACTTTGACAATATTTGCAAAATGCCTTAAAAAGAGTATCATTATATAAGATTTCAAATGCAATACTTAATAAACTGAAACACATAATGTTTTCAAAGTCGTTAAAACATACTGGTTTAGTTGCATTAAGCACCAGGAGTGCAAAGAATTGATCTATTTAGGAAATTTAGTTGATTATCGCAGATATACTTTGCCTTTGCCTAGGACACTATTTCCACAGGAAAGATTGTCCATCAGTGTAGCTATCTCATGTTTGTCCTTATTTATCAAGGGCCAAGCTTTAATAAACATCATACATAATTAAATTTAAATCTGGTCCACGCAATAAAGAACTTGACAATCTAATAAGCAAGACAAAGAGTATAGTTTCCCAAATATGAAGAATAGAGGAGATAATCTCCTCATAAATATATAGGCAGATTTTATTTATGGGCTTTTTTAGTTGGACAGTAAAGGGAGTAAGTAGAATGTGAACTATTTCCACCCTTAATTTTTTAGTGTAAGACTAGGGATTTTTTAAAAAAATTAAATGCAATTGATGGATTGGTTGGTTGCATGATATCAGATTAATTTCCTAAATGGATATGAGCTTGCCTTCATGAAAAGCAAGGATGCAACATGAGAAATAAAAGAAGGAGGATCACAAAACTCTCTGATAATGAAAAGCCACAAAGTCTAAATAAAATGTTCTTTTTAGGCTTCCTAGCAGCCAGGCAAAGACGGAAAATGCACACATTTATGTAACTGTCATTTTTTAGTAGCAAAAAGGCAAATCAGGACATCAGGAGAGATTAACATTATCCTGAAGAGAAATTTTCAGGGGGCCTCAGGAAGAAAATTGTTCTAGGAGATCCCTTGCTCCTATCTTCATTCACTCATGAACTGGATGCCTGGGAACTTTTTCTAATTCTATAAGCCTGCTCCTTAAAAATTCCAAAGTTCACAGAAGTAGGTCATGTCAGAACCCCCTGGATTAACATTAATTATTTAGAAAACTTCAGGTCTCCCTCCCTGCCAAGGACTCCATTGGTGACTTATCAGAATGGAATCAGAGTGGTCATGTGTGGTTTGAAAAAGCTCACCAGTGATTCTGACATGGTCCTCCTACCTCCTTGAGGACCCCCCACTCTAGGCTTCACCATCTGGAGCTTAAAGTGCCTAGCACACAGCATATTCTCCATAATTATTTGGTGAATAAATTAATAAATGAATGAATGAACAAATAATCAAATTGAAAAGGGACATATACCATCCCAAAAGAAAGTATTCCTATTCATTCATGTTTGGTTATTCAGAAATAAATACATCCCAACAGATTTACTATTGTGGAATGGTTGCAGGAAAGCTCAGTGATCCTTCAAGTGCAGTTCAGAGCCAACCCAGAAATGCCCTCCACAGCTTCCCTGTTAAGAAATATTTCAATCTCTTTTGGAGAGGGACCTTCTGCCTCCAAAGAAATTATCCCCCTAATGGATAGTTCTGAATGTTAGGCAAGTCTACATAATTTTATTCAGCCTATTTAGTTCTATAAGGCCACCTGGAATAATTCTAGGGCCCCTTTTCCTTGCCGTCTTGTCAGATTTCCAAAGTAAGGATGTGTAATCTCCTCTGTTCCTTGGAAATTTCCTCACGTGACCCAGCTTCAAGCCTTCCATTCCTTCTGGTTGCTCAGCCATTGGTCAATGTCCCTGAAAATCCTGCTTGGCTTGTGCTCAGATTGAGATGAGTACATGATCCCTAAATACACAATACCTTTTGGCAAGAAATAATGGAAAATATCAAGCAGCAAGGGGCATGCCAGGCTGTGATCCAAATGTGGCTCAGACAAGCCCTAAAGAGGATAATCTATAGGCTCCTATTAATCCGTTGGGTTTCAGTCCTCACGGGAGCTGAGCTCCTCTCCTTTTGATAGTAACACCAGAAACCATCTCACCAGACAGAAAAAGATGAAGAACATCGGGCACTTGCCTTGTTTCTTTCTAAACTGACTTTCCACAACTGTGTGCTTCTGTAGTTCTATAAACTGGGTTTTCAGCCTTGTTAGGGGAGAGAAAATTCTAGACATGGCTCACAAATGTCCTCATTAATTAATTCCAATATTTAGAGAACATTCTCTGTCATACAATGTGCCTCTCGATGCTAGAAAAACAGTTGAAAAGCTCCATCCCTGCCACTAAAGAGGATCTGAGAAATTTGAGGAGAAAGATATATAACTATATGCTATAATTCAAAGAGGTGCCTGCTATCACTAAGAAAAGGAGGCATATTGGAAGAGAGAAAAATACAGTTAATTGTGCCTGTGGGACCAAGGAAGACTTGAAAGATAACTGGCATTTATTGAGAGCTTGTCATGCCCTTGGCACTTATGCTAAATGCTTTACGTGTTTATATTATATGTTACTGCTAGCAATTTTATCAGGAATGTATTGGCAAACCCATTTTATAGGTAAGGGAACCGAAGCTCACCCCTCATTCATTCAACAAATAATTCTTGAGTGCATTATATGTATTAGGCCCTGTTTTAGGCATTCAAGATATATCAGTGTCCTCTAGAAGCCTATATTATAGGGAATGATACAGTCTCTTGTTGCATGGTTACTAACATGTAAAAAATAAGGTGCAATGTCAGATTATCAACACACTATAGAGAAAAATGAGATACGGTAAGGAGATAAAGAGAATCTGATTTGAGTATCAGGGTGGCTGTTTTCAATAGAATTATTAAGGAAAACTCCAATAAGGAAGTGCTATTTGAACAGAGACCTGAATGAAATGAGAGAGTGGCTATGCAAAGACGTGGGGAAATCCGGTTCCAGATCTAGGGAGCAGCAAAGGCTTAGCTGGATTCACATCCAGGTCTGTTAGATCTCAAATTTCTCCACCATTAGGCTGTATCATCAGATTTGACTCTCAAAGGCTGAGTGGGCCTTTATAAATTGAAGAATGTGGGAAGGGCATTCCAAGCAGAGAGAGAAAAAAAGAGAGAAGACCAAGTTTGGGATTTTGAGAAGTTCTGACACTTCGACAACAACAGGTTATTTCCACAGATTCCAGAAAGGATCCTGAGCACCAAAGTGGCTTGAGTGATGGTCTCTTCCCAGTGTGAAGTTTGGGGACACATGACATTCCAAACCCAATAGCACATGCTGTTTGACCTTTCTGTCTTCCAGCATCCCTGCACCTCAGTGTTTTCACACATGGAGTCAGAAGACCCTAGTTTGAGTCCTCTTGGACCCGTGCAAGCAATAATTGTACTTGGAAAGGCATGGCTTGGAAGTCAGACAAACTTGGGCTCAGCTATGTCACACCTTAGATCAAGAACCCATCATGCAAATTGCACCATTGATGCTCACGTAGTGTGAAGTGGAGGCATGGAGACCAGGGTGTGAATCCTGGATCTGCTTCTTTCCAGCTCTGAGACTCTGGGAGAATTGCTGACTTTATCTGAACTTCAGTGTTCTTTATAATAAAGAGGATAATATGAAATCTCATAGGGGCATGGTGATTACAGGAGATAATACATATAAAAGGCTAAGTGCAGTTTCTGGCAGTCACCTCTGCTTAAAAGTTGTATTGTCACAATTAATAATAGATACGCATACTTTTGGCAAAACACCCAAATGAATAGGTTTTCCCCTTTGGCAAAATGGAGATATTGTTCCTTTCCTTTGGACCACTGTGACAATCAGATGAGAAAATCTTGTGTGAGAACTCTGTAAATTGTAAAATGCTACACAAACACAAGAGCTTCTTTTTAGAACGTACATAGTGTGAATTTATAAAGGGTCAGTGTGAAGAACATATATCCTCTTCCAGTTCATTGGCTCATTCTTTCATGTATTTATTTTCATATACTAAAGGCCTGTCCTACGTGCTAAAGAGACCAGGGTAAGATGGACTTGATCTCTACCATTAAGAGCAATCTAGAATGTCTGAGAATTCTAGGAACATCCTCACATCTGTGTTTTTAGCTGTTCTTAAAATATAATTGAATTATTTAAAAAATAACTCAAAATGCCTTACTAACTTCATTTTGATTCTTGAGTTACATTGTACTTAAGATATTTTTTAACTAGAAAAACAACTTTGCCTATCATGCACTTTTATTTTAAAAATATGTTAATATTTTATGATGTGTACGTTAATTTTCGATTAAAGGCACAAAGTGCCTAGAGGGTAGAGCAGTGACTTTTGCTTAGTTTGGCTTATACTCACTTACCAATGAAGTTGTAGTTGTGGTACTAATAAGTGATCATTCTCCTACAGAAGATTAGTGTGCGGGCCCAATGCCATTGAGGTAGAAGTCCAGCCCATATGGAAGCTGCTTGTTAAACAGGTAACTAACTGTTTTCATCTATTTTTGAAAAACATTTTTTTGGTCCTTTACTTTTGACTTCCTGGTACTCAGGGGAATTTTAGGCAACATATAGATAATTTGATCTGAACAAAATTTGTGTTTCATATAACTTCCTTTTGTTATTCCCTATTGTCTTTAGTCTATGCTTTTCCTGTCCATAGAGGCTTTCTTTTCTTTTCTTTTTTTTTTTTGGTATTTCTTTTTTGTAGACATATATTTCTTTCTTTATATTTTTTATTATTATGTTCAATTAGCCAGCATATAGTACATCATTAGTTTTTGATGTAGTGGTCAATAAATATATATATTTTTATTCCAGAATTTTTAAAAGATTTATTTATTTATTTACATGAGAGAGAGAGAGAGAGAAAGAGAAAATCCAAGTGGGAGGAGGGGCAGAGGGAGAGAGAGAATCCCAAGCAGACTCCCCACTGAGCATGGAGCCCATTGTGGGGCTCAATCTCATGACCCTGAGGTAATTACCTGAGCCAAAATCAAGAGTCAGACACTTAACCAACGGAGCCACCCAGGGGCCCCTATTCCAGGATTTCTAACTGGTCCTTTTCAACACCCACTTGTTTTAAAGTAAAATCCACGTAAAAAAATCCAATCCCAGTGTGAGAGACAGATTCCTGTTTCATGTTTTTCCATTTGTTTTGTTTTCTTACGTTTTTGATGGTGGTTGTAATGGTGGTGGTGCTGGGGGAAATGTTATTACTTTTTTTTTTCTCAGATAGTCTGAACTTTTTATTTTATTTTATTATGTTATGTTATGTCAATCGCCATACATTACATCATTACTTTTTTTAACTATTTTTTTATTCTTATGTTAATCCCCATACATTACATCATTAGTTTTAGATGTAGTGTTCCATGATTCATTGTTCGTGCATAACACCCAGTGCTCCATGCAGAACGTGCCCTCCTCAATACCCATCACCAGGCCAGCCCATTCCCCCACCCCCCTCCCCTCTAGAATGCCCAGTTTGTTTCTGAGTCCATCGTCTCTCATGATTCGTCTCCCGCTCCAATTTCCCCCCCTTCATTTTTCCCTTCCTACTATCTTCTTCTTCTTCTTCTCCTTTTTTTTAACATATAATGTGTTATTTGTTTCAGAGGTACAGGTCTGTGATTCAACAGTCTTACACAATTACCTCTATGATCTTTTTGACTACTTTCAATGTATTAGTTTGGTCTTTCTCATGTTACTCTATTATGTCAATTTTCTTGAGAATGACTTTTTTCTTTGTTAGTGGGTTTATTTATTTATTTTTTTGGAATATTTTCTTTGGGTTCCTTGAAGTTATTATTATTAGTGGTGGTGGTGGTGAGCTCCCCTTAAGTGGGACTTCTCCTGCCTCCATTTCTCTCTTTCTCTCTGTGTTCACTCGCCCTCCTAGGTGGCTCTGAGTTTGCCTGCCTCTTAGTGGTCCCCATAGCTTCCAGTTCAGAACCAGGGTCTCTCCTGGGGTTTAGGGCTCTGTTTCCCAGGATCTAGTAGACATAGGCCCTGAGCTAGTTGGGGTTTGGCCAAGTTCACAGTTGCACCATGAACTCTGTTGTTTCCCACTCCACCCTCTGCTAGGTTGTGACTTTTCTTGGCTTCTGTTCTGGGGCAGGAGGCAAGTCTGGTTTGGTCCCCTGCCAACTGTGGGACACTGTTGGTCTTATTCCCCGTAGAACTGAGCTCCTAGCCATCACTCTCCAGTACTTGTGTGGAACCCAGTGGGCTGATCATGCCAGCCTCCTCTCCATGCTGCATGTTTCTAATCTATTTCTAATTCACAATGATGGACATTTTGTTTAGCATGGTCATGTTTTTCAAAATAATGTTTTGTTAGACTTTTTTTAGAGCAATCTAAAGTTCACAGAAAAGTTGATTGGAAGGTACTGAGATTTTCCCATCTACCCCATGCCTCCACATATGCACAGTCTCATTCACTATCAAAAAGCAGGCTGCTTTTTAAACTTCTTATTCATTTTCAAACTGCCAAAGATTCCCCCAGGTGTCAATTTGGTCTATATTGAAAGGGGTGGTAGTATTTTCTCCGCCTACTTACTAGGCCTTTAGTAGGAAAAAAGCAGATAAAAGTATGTCATATTTGGTTTCAAAAGAACATTGAATAAGGGAACTAAATTAATTATGATGGTGTTGTTTCTTATACAAGAAGTATTTAACCAATTTTCTACTGAGTTTATGTAAACTCAAAATCATATTATCATTAGTGCATAATCTACAATTAGAGCATTTTATACCAAGCAGACAGAAGAGCTATAATTTGTAAGGAAAGCATGTTGCAATGGAAAAATAAGAAACATTAAGGAACAAAAGCTTTGTTAATGTACAAAATATATCCGAGGGTTTCAGGAACTCGTAAGATACAGCCTATTAACTTATTAATGGGATGTCAGTTCATTTTGGGGACTGAAGGAGAAGTTTATTTAACATGTTAGAGAATTATAGAAAGTAGAGGTAAAAAAGAGTGGCACTGGCTTTAGATAATATCTCATCTAATTCATAATCATCATAAAGAGCACTTCATCTAGAAAATAATCCTTGTTTTGCTCAGACGGGCTCTTTAATTTACGCAACGTGTATACATATATGACTCTAGCTCCTCAGGTTTGCCCTCTCTGCTATCATTATTAATAGTGGGGTCAGCAGGACCAAAATGGGGACAATAGAGGGATTAAAAAAAGTTAAAGGTTTTATAAAGAGATGAAAAACTATGTGCATGGATGGCCAGCTTTGGGCTGGGGATACATTCCACCCATGGTTTTCACCACAACTTTGGGTACAATGATCCCTCTCTGTTCAAGGGCAGATCTGTGCTGACTTGACTGACTCTCAAAGCATCTTGCTAAGACCTGTGACATGGAGAGTCTGTTATTTTTAAATGACCTGGATACAAGTGCAGTCTTGCATTTTCCTCACACACCTTGACTCCATCTGCAGCATGTGATCACATGAGGAATGCAATAAAAATGGTCAAAGTTGAAGTTTGTTTTAAAAAGAGACTAAATCATGGTTCTCCTCCGTTATGGGTAAATATTGTTTAAAAAGATAAGTTGTTAGACTTTGTTATTGATAAAATATTTTTCCTTTTTTTTGTTTTTAAAGATTTTATTCATTTATTCGAGAGACAGTGAGCGAGAGAACATGAGTGGGGGGGAGGGCAGAGGGAGAGGGAGAAGCAGACTCCCTGCTGAGCAGGGAGCTCAAGGAGGGACTCCATCCCAGGACTCTGGGATCATGACCTG